CTCGCTGCAGCTGTCCTGCTGTTGCTGTCCCGCCGGCTTCCCAGCTTCTGCTCCATGGGTTTGTGAGTTCACTCGTCCACGTGGAGCCTTAGCGCTCTGAAGAACTCCCCGGCTACGTAAACGGCTCATGGTCCCTCCACCAGTGCTGCTTTGCCCCCTGACTCTCTTTGCTGGCCAGTCTTCTGGCTCTTCTTTATGAAATCCCTTCTCCCCATGGGGGGTTTTGTCCTTGATGGCACAATTGTCCATGACCTTTTTTTTTTATTGCAGCTTTATTGAGATATAATTCACATACCATAAAACCCACCCATTGAAACTGTCTAGTGCAATGGTTTTTAATATGTTCACAGAGTTGTGCAACTCTCACCACAATCCAGTTCCAGAACATTCTGATCACTTCCTTTTGAGCAGCCACTTCCATCACTCGCCCAGCCCCACAGCCAGCCCCTGGCACCCATGGATCTACATTCTGTCTCTGGATTTGTAGCGCCTGTCCATGCATATCTAGCACCGGGCGGGTTTTCAAACCCTTGTGCCGACTTCCAACATTGCAGAGGTCTGCCTTGGTCACATGCAAGCCCCCGGGGGTGTTCAGAGCTTGCTCAATCTTTCTCTTTACTGAGCCTGTTTTTACTCAAAACTTTGAAAAAGGAAATCATCTCAGGTAGTAGTAGATTAACCAAAAGCTATAATCCCCACCGTGTCTCCACTGGTCTGGCAACACCCACCTTCCTTAGTAAGACTGAGCCCTGGCCCGCCCGGTAAACAGAGCCCTGTCCAGGTAGTGTGGCTCTGGCAGGCTCGGAGAAGGCAGGGCCCCAATCAGGCTTTGGTTTCACAAAGGTTGCTTTGTCTGGAGCATGTGGGGTGGGGGAGGAGGGCAAGGCTCCAGAAAGGAGACCCTGTCTGCTTCATCCCAGCACCAGGCCCGAGCCCCGCTCATGCAGGCGCTCCATCAATGAGGGAAGGAGGCAGGGGGCCAGGAGAGTGGGGGTGAGGGATCCTCCAGAGGAAGGTGTTTGGGGCAGGAAGGAGCATGTCGTGGTCACTCTTCAGAAACAGGATTGACCTCCCACCCCAAATTTGGTTTGGCCTCGGGGACTGAGGGCACCGCCCCCGCCAAGAGGTTACAGAAAGATTCCTTAGTCACGCGCTGAGGCTTTCTGGGGATAGTCGGGCAAGTCCCCAGCCTGGCCAGAAAATGACTTGGGAGGGCACAGCGAGGAGACTGGCGGGGTTCTTTGTCATGGCTTGTGCTGGGGCAGGGGTGAGGGCTCCTGCGTGCAGTTTGAACTCCCCTCTGGTGCCAAGGAAGGGAGCACTCCAGCTTTCTCCGGAGTTTGCCCAGATGTGGGGCACAAGGGGACAGGGAGGGTGAAGCTTCAAAGCTGTCAGCACTGAGAATTTACGACAAGGAGCAACCGGTGCTGCTGGATGGAGGCAGCTTGGAAGCAGCACGTGACCTTGGTGGGCGCTGGGGTCTGAACGCGCCCCTCCTCTGAGCTCACAAGGTGTGACCCTGATGCTCCGGGCTGGGGCCACCTGATCAGGTCCTGAGGGCGGAGCCTCAGGAATGGAACCAGTACCTTATCAAAGAGACCCCGGAGAGCTTGTGTGCCCGTTCCACCGCGTGAGGCACAGTGAGAACTCCGCTTTCTGCAAACCTCGAGAGGGTTCTCACCAGAGCCCACCCATGCTGACATTCTGATCTTGGATTTCCAGCCTCCTGACATTTGAGAAAGAGATGTCTGTTGTCTATCCGTCACCTAGCCTGTGGTATTTTGCTCTAGTAGCCCGAGTGGGCTAAGATGAGGGTGGTGTGGCAAGGGCTGGGCAGGCAGCAGGCTGTGGAGTTCAGGACACATGTGGCTTCAGAGCTTGCATAGTTGAGAAGGGTGGGAGGGCAGAGGGCAGCGGAAATGGGGAGGTGATTGGGACAGCCAGTGGGGAGAGATCGGAGGCCCAGAAGGTGTTTGTGGAGAGCTGGGGAGAGGTGGGTAAGAAGGGGTGACAGTGGAGTGAGGTTCTCAGGTTGCAAGAAGGTTCTGAGGACACACAACAGGACTGGACTTAGATGAAGGGGCTCCTCATGACCACCCTAGGGCGAAGGCCACTGGGGAGGAGGTGGGCAGGGTGAGCACTTTGGAAATCCTCCCCTGTCCTTGAAGACCAGTCAGGCTTTCCAGTGGCCCGGCCTCTGTACCCTGAAGGCCCCTCCCCGTTCTCTGCTTCATCCTTTGAGCTTCGGCCTGAGCCCCAGCTAGCTCCCTGGCTCATTAGGTGAGGAGGAGGCCGGGCTGTACTCAGTGCGGAGGCACACTATAAAGGTTAGATAAGGTGGCCTTGGCAAATACCATAGAATCCCCTTCCCATAGAATTGTCCGCCCCTCCTGTATTGATCATCTTCTCCGTACAGGGCCTGGAGATAATCCCCGGGGCAAGGTCAGGGGATGGTGGGGGCGGTGAGGGGGGGCGGGAGGATGCCACCTTTGGGAGGGGTGACAGGAAGGGAGGGCCCATGCAGTGGGTGTGGCTTGATGGTGGGAGAGGAAGCCCTGCCTAGAGGTTTGCTGGCTCCCACTGGTGGCTAGTGAATTATTCATTTGTCAACCACCCTGTCCAGGCTGCTTGCCGGGAGGGTGCCCTGTGACCCAGGGTTTTTAAAAATTAATGTGTTCATTGAGTCATTCCCTTGACTCACGTTCATGGGTGCCTGTTACTTGCTGAGCCCAGATTCTTCACACCACAAAAGGCTCAGGGCAGGGAGGAGGAATTCAAGCTGTGCTGTTTAACTCGAAAGCACAGGGGGTGGAGAGGTGACAGGCAGGCCACTGGGCCAGGGCCTGGAGGGAAGAGTGAATGAGACGACTTGGGCGTGTGGATGTGTGTGCGTGTGGTGGGGGGATTGCCCGATGTGTGTGTACATTTGCATGTGAGTGTGGGGAGGGGTGTGCGTGTGGTGTGCCCCTTTGGGCTGGTGCTCTGGGTGGTCTGGGTTTCAGCCTCGGCTGGGGGACAGCAGTGACAGTGTGCTCAAGGCATGACAGGTGTTAGCACAGGGGCCTCGGGGCCCCGAGTCCCTCCATACATATGCACATGGGTACATGTGGGCAAGCACGCGTGCGTGCACACACACACACACACCCACACATGCACAGGTACTCAGCCCAGAGGGCCTGGGCCTTGCCTCAGACAGAGGGAGTTGGGAAGAGGGGTTTGGGGCAGGAATCCCTTCACTGGGCAGAGCTTGTGTGAAGACCCTTAGGCGGGAGGTTATAACTTCCAGGGAGTTGCACAAGGGTGTTGCCATGAGTGGCACAGTGGTGAGATCTGAGGCTGGTCAGTTGACAGGATGACTCCCTGAGAACTGGCATGTTAGGCTAAGGCCTCAGCCTTCTCCTGAGTGTAAGGGGTTCTGGGAGATGGGAGGCAGGGCAGAGCCCATCAGGTTTACATTTTAGGAGGCTCGCTCTGGCTGGTGGCTGGTGTTCCGGGCCAGACGGTGGCCCCCTAGGTTGTGATCCCTGGAAGCTGGGATCGGTGAAGAGTCTTGGCAGATGTGATCAAGTGAAGGGTGCAAGCTGAGATCACCCTGGATTTCCTCATTGGCTCTAAATGCAGAGACAAGTAAGAGGGTAGACACAGAGACACACAGAAGAGAAGGCCATGTGACAGCAGAGGCCTGCAGTGACATGGCCACGAGCCGAGGAACACCTGGGGCCACCAGCAGCTGGAACAAGCAAGGAAGCATTGTCCCCTGCAGAGAGAACGTGGCCCTGCCGACACTTGGATGTTAGACTTCTGGCCTCCAGAGCTGTGGGAGGATGAGTTTCTGTTGTTTTCAGTCCCTCGCTTCGTGGTCATTTTGTTACAGTGGGCACAGGAAGCCAGCCACCATGGCTGGCGTGGAGAAAAAGACTTGGGGGGAGTTGGGTTGGGAGAGGGATGGGGGAGTGGAGGAAGGAGACAAGGCAGTCCTGGGTGGGTCAGGAGGTAGAGCCATCAGGACCCTCACTGGGGTCCAGTCACCCTGGCGGAAGAGTTGGGAGCAGTGGCCTTTTCCTCTCAAAGTTCGCAGCTCTCTCAAATCATAGCAACCATCCGATGATACCGGAATGACCCGGATGACTGGGTCGTTAGTTTGGGAGTCCCTCTGGTGCTCTATATCCCTAATGCCTGACGTGGGATACCCTGCTTGTGGAAGGCACACGGACGAAGCGTCGGATGGCATCGTGAGCTGGGTATTCAACATTCATTCATTTAAGCTCCTAGTGTGCGTCAGCCTGGGAAGGTGAGCAGAAGCCAGATCACCAAGGGATGCAGAGGAAAATCCCAGAGGCAGGACCCCACAACACACTCGCTCTTCGCACATGTCCTCCGGGGCTCGTCCACCTGTCTGCAGACGCGGCAGATGCGAACGCGGGCACTGAGCCACAGGATTTCTCCCGCTGGGAGTCGCAGACCACTCACAGGCAAGCGGCCCTCGCCACGGGAGCTGGCAGTCCCCACCGGCCGTCCCACTCCTAAAGCACGCTGGGCCACCAGCCTGGAGCGACGCCCGAGTGGGACCGCAGGGACTTGCCGCTAAGATGCCTGGGGGTGCCCGTGACCTCGCTGCGCCCTAGCGACGCAGCCCAGCCAGTTCCGGCCGCGGGGGACCGGGCCGGCGGCTCTCGGGGCCGGGCGTAAGCCCCCCAGGGACGGGCCGGCGGTTCTCAAGGGCGAGGCGCGCGCCGTTCGGGGGCAGGTCGGCGTCCAGCCAGCCAGGGGCCACCCGGCCGAGTCCGCGTCTGCGCCGGCGCCGGCGCCTGCGCGGAGCCGCGGAGTCATTTCCCCCGCCGCCGCCCGCCAACCCCGGGCAGGGAGCTGGGAGGCGGGGCGGCGCGGGCAGGGGCGGGGCGGCTGGCCGCGCCCGCCGCGAGGACCCCCGGTGCCGGTGGCCGCGCGCTGGGGCCCCTTTTCCTTCTGGCGGGGGGTCCCGGGCCGCGGGCCTCATGGAGGCCGTTGGCCTGGACAGTTGCAGAGGGGGGTGCACGGCGCGGGGTGCCGAGGGGCGGCCGGCACCCGAGGCGAGGGTGCACTTCCGAGTGACGAGGTTCATCATGGAGGCAGGTAACCGCGCTGGGGAGAGGCCCGGCTTTGCGGGAACCCCCTTCCCGGAGCAGGGGACGCGCAGGACGGGCAGCGGGCGCGGCTGGACGGGGTGGGGGCGGGGAGAGGCCCGGCTCAGGGGTGCAGGCCCCTGCTTCCCGCCGCGCCCTGTGTGCTAGGCTTTGAGCTGCGAGGAGGACACACACGGTCACTACCACCTCGCGGACGGGCGCGCGGGCCCAAGGAGAGGACGTGGACAGGGACTGGCGCGAGCGACAAGGTGGTCGAATCCCAGCGCCCGCGGCTTGCTCCCCCCCGCCCCGCGCACCTTCAGGCACATCTGTCTCCCCGCGCCCTTGGTCTCGCGGAGCCTTTCGCGGGCCGCGGTTGGTGAGGCTCATGACGGGCCCCGTCGGCGAGGTCCCGTCCCAGCGAGGACCCAGGCGGGGTGCCGCTCCGGTTCTGAAAACCCTTTCCAGGCTGTGTTCACGGAGGTGTTGGGTGCCCCTGCTTCCGAGGCGAGACAATGAAGCGAATCGGATCCCGTGGAAACACTGTATCTCTCTCTGGCAATAGTATCTGCTCGGGGGCGGCCGGTTACTTTTGATCTTTGTTACTTTGTGCACAGTCTGTGCCAGCGGGCTTTGGGCGAGTCGGCTTTCAAGTTCAAGTCAGCCGTCTGGGGGAAATGATGCAGGACCATTAAGCCCAGGGATGTGTACATTTAATTTCCAGGAAGTTGCACGAGGTCCGAAGAAGGATGGCGGTGGCCTCCCACAGGCTGCCATGCATCCGCTTGGAGGGTCCATGTAAACCAGGGCAGCGTGCTGCCCTTTGAGGACTTGCTACATGAAACAGGGCTTGGAGGGGCATGTGCAGCTATGGCTCCGTATCTGACGTCTCGGGACTGAAGAGTCTCGTGTAGAAACTGCCTATGTAACTGAAGTTTAAACCTTGACGTGCTAAAAGCTCTTCCAGGTACCACTCTCCAAGGACTTCTTTATAAAATGTGTTGCATATGCCCCTGCTCTCCGTGTGAGGCCAAACACGGGTCCTCCAAAGATGGCCCCATCCTAATCCCTGAACCTGTGACCCTGTGACCCTCTGACTGTACTCCATGCAGCAAAGGAGATTTTGCAGCTGGGATTAGCATCTCCATATGGGGAAACTACCCTAGATTATTCACTGGGCCCAGGATAATCTCACCTATCACATCCTTAGAGGTAGGAGTGACTGGCAGAGTGGAAGGCCGTGGAATGAGGGAAGCAGAATTAGAAGATGCTCCCCCTGACTTTGACAAGGGGGGCAGGGACCACAAGCCAAAGACTGCAGGATGCCTGGAAGCTGGGAAGGGCAAGGAAGCATTCTCCCCTGGAGGCTCCAGAAGGAACCCACCCCCACCCTGCACACATCTTGAATTTAGCCCCCTAGGACTCATTTCAGACTTCTGACCACGAGGACTGTAAGAGAAACAGTACGTGTCATTTGTGTTTATTCACTGCAGTAGCCCCAGGGAACTAAGGCACCATGGGGAGAGGATATTGACTGTAATCTTTTTTTTTTAAGATTTTATTTATTTATTTGACAGAGATCGCAAGTAGGCAGAGAGAGAGAGAGAGAGGAAGCAGGCTCCCTGCTGAGCAGAGAGCCCAATGCGGGGCTCGATCCCAGGACCCTGGGATCGTGACCTGAGCTGACGGCAGAGGCTTTAACCCACTGAGCCACCCAGGCGCCCCTATTGACTGTAATCTTAATGACTGTTGGTTGTCCCCCACCTTCTTTCAGTCTGTTGGATGTCATTTAACCTTCTCTTGTTATCCCTGGTCACTGTGAATTTATATGGGTTCTGTTACCCAGTGCAGTGATTTCCTTAGGAGCCATCCAGAGCTGAGATGGGGTGGGCTGGGGCGTGGGGTTAAACGGTTAAATCAAACCACCACGGGTTCTGATTTTTGAGTCGTTCCCTTTTCTGTGTGTCTCTCTTCTTCCCTGGTACCTGCGGGGGGGCATAGGTTTTGCTTTTTTTCTGCTCTGCCTGCAGTTGCCTTTGGCAGTCACCCTGCTTGTTTTCCTTGCCCTTTCCAACCTGCAGGCAAGGAAACCGGGGCCGAGTATAATCGTTAGTTGTAACCCTGGGACTCTGTGGTGTCTGTTCGATGCTCAGAGGCCTTTTTCCCCTGCTGTCATCTTGGCAGGATTTTTGTTCCGTGAGCTGTGGGAGTGAGGGTGACCTCTGGTTAAATGGTTTCTGAGGCAGAAACAGACACACAACAGTGTGTGGTCCTTTCCAGAATGTTGTGCAGAGGCTGACATGCCAGGTGTGACCGGGAGGGCTTGGCAGAAGTGTGGGGTCTGCAGTGCTGCTGGAGGGGACCTGCATTGGAGCACGAACCCCAGTGGCTTGTCAGCCCCGTAGAATCGGAGAGGCCTGGCTTGAAACCTCTCAGATAGAGGACCCAGTGCAAGACCCAGCAGCCGCGGCCAGCCGGGCTCCGGGCTCCTGGTCCTGTCTGAGCAGGGCTGTACGCCCTCAGGGCCCCACTCCACAGCTGCAGCCCTGCTCGGGCAGAGGGTGAGCCCGGCCTGAGCTCTCCCGCCTGCTTTCTCTTGGTAGGAGTCAAGCTAGGGATGCAGTCCATTCCTATCGCCACTGCTTGTACCATTTACCATAAGTTCTTCTGCGAGATCAACCTGGACACCTACGACCCCTACTTGGTTGCCATGTCTTCCCTTTATTTGGCTGGCAAAGTCGAGGAACAGCACCTGCGCACTCGGGACATCATCAATGTGTCCAACAGGTAACAGCTTCCGGGCCAGGCCCTTTGGGAGGACTCACTGGTGTTCACCCAAGTGGGAGGGCAGAGAAGGGTCCCGCTGAGCCCCGACCTCCAGTGACAGTGGTCAAGCTCAGAAGGAAGGCCAGGGTGGTCCTGAGCCAGGGCGAGAAGCACGGCAGCAAAGGCAGGCGCGTTCCTGTGTCACAAATGGGGCGAGGGGACGAGAAGCCGGGGCTGGGTTGAGGGGTGTCTCAAAGGCCCGAAAGAGTGTAGGGGAGCTGGGGTCCTGGGGAGGGGAGCGTGGCTAGAACATAAGGAGCTTGGAGAGATGTGTCAAGATTTGTCTGGAGTTTTGGGCAGGTTGGATGGAACCAGTTGTTTTCTGTGGGACCCGCAGGACCTTCCCAGGCAGGGGAGGGTGTGGGCCCAGTTGGGCAATTATTTTATTAAAATGGCGTGGGAAACCGAGTCAGAATCGCTAACAAGCATCTCTTGCCTGGTGTGGGCATGGTGCTCTGTGGGCAGCCCCCGTGAGTCCAAGCAGCTGTGTTCCTATTGGGGAAGGATATGGGGGTCCGGCCAGGCTGCACTGAGACCCGGGGGGCCCAGCAGTTTGTGGAAAGTTACTGACTAGCAGTATGGTGTAACCTTTCTAGAAACTAATCATTAGGAAAGAAAACTGTTTTGTGCTGCTTCTCTTTTAATCAATAGGTAACAGAAAGAGCACTCCCTGCCCCCTAAGCATGACAGGTTCATAGTGTACCATGAAAGCCTAAGAGAAAAACTGGAGAGGGAACCAAGGGAGAGCCGCAGGAGTCCACCTGTAACTGCCAGGTCCCCGGCAGGGGGTGCTGTTAGAGGGGAAATTGTCTGGACCGCTAATTAGACAGGAGCACCCGGTGGGGTTCTGTGGGGGAAGTTGCAGAAGGATCGAGAAACTAGGAAGCCTGAGTCATTGGCAGAGAATTTTGATCACTTGAGTGTGAATCCTATTCTCTTACATCTTGGTGATCATGCGTAGGTGGGAGTGTCGTGGATATATATGGCGTAAATAAGGACAGAAGGATCTGGAACAAAGGAAAGACAGTCTGGGAACATAAAGCTGAACTACATTTATTCTTCTGTGTATAGCGACCCCATGACATGTTTTAGGACCTTCCTTGGGCCCAGAGTAGGAGTCTTGGGCGTTGCCATCCTGGGCGGTAAACCCCATCTCTGATCCCAGCGGACTGTGATGGGAAGCACGATCAGTTCAGGGTGTTAGAGCCTCCGGTTCTCCTGGAGCAGTCGCAAAGAGCTCGTCTTTACGCTGGGCATGTTGCTGAGTGATACGGGACAGCCCATGAGGGCTGAAACTGGAAGCCGGCTTTTTTCTCTGCTGGTTGCTGTTTTTGTCCTCTGTCGTAGGCCCGTAGATGAAGAGTGACTTCTAAACCCATCAGTAGAACCAGCCCCATCCACGGCAGAACCCTGGGGTTTGGGTCTGGACGCCAAGGGACTTGGGGGGCTCCCTGGGGGCACCTCCCCGGCCGCCGCGAATGCCGCTGTCTCTCCGCGCAGGTACTTTCACCCGGGCGGCGAGCCGCTGGAGCTGGACTCCCGCTTCTGGGCTCTTCGGGACAGCATAGTGCAGTGCGAGCTCCTCATGCTGAGGGTCCTGCGTTTCCAAGTCTCCTTCCAGCACCCGCACAAGGTACCTGCCAGGGGGAGTGGCAACCTTTTCTAGAGGCGTGAGCCTGTTCGTTCCTTATCCCGAGACTGCCCCCACCAAACGTTCCCAAACATGTGGGCCACGAGAGGAAGAGCAGAGTTGCAGCCAGACACCGGGGCTCCTGCCTGTGCGCCGTGACTGGCTTGTGCGGCCCCTCCTGTCCCCATTCCCCGGGTTTCCTCCGGCAGCTCTCACTTCAGCTTCTGCCTTTCGGCCTGCTTGGCTGAGGCCGTGAGCTGGGACCCGTGTGACTCTGCAGCCCTTGCTGGTCCCGTGACCCCACACAGATCGTGTGCTCAGCAAGCCACAGGGAAGCGGGGCTGCTTTCATGATGCCCCAGGGTTCCTGTCCCCCAGAGCCACTCCTCTGCCTCAGAGTTCCCATGCCGCCCAGCTGTGCTTCGAGACCCGTGAGAAGAGCTGAGTCACAGAGTTAGGCGGGCACACTTTTAACCACTAGGATCACGGAAGCCCCGGTAGAACGGGTTCTGACGGCAGCAGAAGGGATATGTGAGACCCTCGGAGCACTTGGATGTGACACTTTGGAGGCTCCAGGCCCCCATGTGGGCAGCTTGGGAGGGTGGCCTGCAGGGCAGGATGTGGGGGTTGGGACAAGGGGGTTGGGACATGGGTTGGGAATAGGATTTCATTTTGTTTTGAATTGAGGCTTGCCCTGAGGTGATTGTAGATGTGCAGGCAGTCGGAGGGAATAGCGCAGAGATCCTGCCCGAAGTGGACACTCTGTGCAGCCTCCCCGAGTGGAAACATTTCGCAGAACTCCAATGTGCCGGCAGGGGTGTCGGCACTGGGGCAACCCCACTGCCCTGCTGAGGACTCTCGGGGTGGCTGGATGGTCACCTGCACAATTTCATTCCATATGCCCCTGCGTATATCCGCGGCCACAGCTGAACTACAGAGCAACTCCCATCACCACGGCTCCTTACAGTCTCACCCCGGCCTTCTAGACGGCCTTTCTAATCCCGGAAACCCCTGGTAGAGATTTAAAATAGTCGTGTTTCCGGTCGGTCGGTCGGTCGGTCGCCTGATGCAGGGGAAGGCAGGAACCGGCTGGGCTCGGGGTCTGGGGAGGAACAGCACCTGCCAAGGGGGCTGTCGGGTGGGGGAGTGGGGCTCAGCGTTGCCCGAGCCTAGCGCCCTTCTGCTCACGTAAGGTCGGGATGGGGTCTCCGGGAGCCGATGAGCCCCCTTCCTGGCAGGCTGGAGTCGAATGCGTGTGTGTTCAGGCCTGTGCAGTGGGCTCGTCAGTGTGTTCATGGGTCGGGTGGTTCAGCAAAGCAGCTGTCTTCCCAGAGCCGGGACAGATAGCTGAGCTGAAAAGCCGTTCTGAGTCTGCAGCCCAGCACTCCCGGAAAGCATGGTCGCCAGTCTTAGTCCGGAAAGTGGGCGTCCTGTCCCCCAGCAGCCCTTGGCCTGAGGCTGGGCACATGGGCGCTGCATTCTGTTTGGAAGACGAGGACGCTATTTCCAGAGCTTATGTTGAGTTGGGCAAGGGGATACGCAGAATGGTTTCTTTCCTTTTTTTTTTTTTTTTAAGATTTTATTTATTTACTTGACAGAGAGATCACAAGTAGGCAGAGAGAGAGAGAGGAGGAAGCAGGCTTCCCGCTGAGCAGAGAGCCCGATGCGGGGCTCAATCCCAGGACGCTGGGATCATGACCTGAGCCGAAGGCAGAGGCTACCCACTGAGCCACCCAGGCGCCCCCCCCCCTTTTTTTAAAGATTTTATTTATTTACTTGACAGAGAGAGAGCAGAATGGTTTCTGACGGCGGCTAGAGCAGGGCCAGGTGACGGAGAGGGACTGTGGTAGGGGTGGCCATCGCAAGAGGCTCGCGCAAGTTCCAGGAGCTGGGCCGGGAGTTGAGCGTGGGTGGGCACCCGGGCCCAGGGCCGGAGGGAGAGACCATTTCAGGCAGAGGGAGCCACGAATGCCAAGCCCGGAGGGGTTAGCGAGCTCAGCCTGTTTAAACGTGGTGGGAAGGTGGGGCAGCACAGGGCTTGGAGGCCAGTGGAAGGCACTGGGGCTTTTTTCTAAGGGACCCAGGGAGCTGTTGGAGGGCTTGAACAGAGAGATGACTCGATCCAGTTTGTGTTTTATTCCTATTGAGACAGCTTAGGGGCAGAGCGGCTGGTGGGCGGTGGGGTGGGGGCACAGTGCCTCCCAGCAAGGAGTCAGGTGTCCTGGGGGCTGGAGCCCCAAAGGCCCATTGGCTGACTGGTGTGTCTTTGCAGTACCTGCTCCACTACCTGATTTCCCTCAAGAACTGGCTGAACCGTTACAGCTGGCAGCGGACCCCCATTTCCGTCACTGCCTGGGCCCTGCTGCGGGACAGCTACCACGGGGGGCTGTGCCTCCGGTTCCGGGCTCAGCACATAGCCGTGGCAGTGCTCCACCTGGCCCTGCAGGCCTATGGGGTGGAGGTGCCCGCCGAGGCCGAGGCCGAGAAGCCATGGTGGCAGGTGAGGTGACTGCTCAGTCTGCTGGTGTGTCCCCCTTTCCTTCGCCTGAGGACTCGTCCATGTTTCTTTGTAGGCACTGTCGAGGAAGGAAGATACGGGCTGCTTAGCAATACTGATGCTTGAACACACGCTGTCATGATTGTCTAAGGCAGGGGCTCTCCCCCTTGGCACCGTGGACGTCTGGGGCTGGATCGTTTTCCATGGCGACACCATCCTGTGCTGCCCGGCAGACGCCCCAGTCGTGACCATCAGAGATGTCTTCAGACCTTACCGAGTGTCCCAGGGTGGGGGTCAGCCCCGGCTGTTGAATTGAGTGGGAGCTTGCCACGGATCTGAGGTTTCGTAAACTTGGATTCACATCGGAAGAAGTATAGGGGATCCTCTGAAAAGATGGGTTCATCATGGACAGGCAGATAGACGATAGATGGACCGGTAGCTGACAGGATAGAGGGGCGGACAGACAGATAGATGGATGATAGAAGATGGATCGGCGGGTGGATGGCTAGATGGCAGACGACGAGGCTGAAGGTCACAAGATGGGCCGGCCTCCCACAGCACGGTTGGTAGAGCACGAGTCTGGGGGAAGGGCTACCCTCGAGCTTCCCTGAGGAGGCCCCAGTTTCTCACAGTGGAATTTTGAGACCATTTCTGGTTTTCCCTTCCTCGCGCTAGACCCGAGTCTGGTTTGCTCTTCCTTTCGTGTAACACCTCGTAGTCCGGCCTGGCCCTGGAGGAAGGTCTCTGTGAGCGCTGCCCGCAGTCCCTGAGGGTTTCCCCTCTTTGGGCGCCCTCCCTCCCTGGGCAACCTCCCTGGTCAATCACCAGTGGCCAGAAGTCTTCTAAAAGGTGTCCTCTGTTTCCCGAAGAGAGGGGGCCCTCCTGGGTCTGCTCCTGGCATCCCTGCCCTTCCTGGACCTCGTGGCTCCCATGGTGGCCTTCCTTTCCCGGCATTCCTCCCCCGGCGGGCCCTCTGCGGAGACCCGGCTCTTCCCGCTGTTCGTTCCCTTATCCTTCACTGTCTGTCCAACCCCTGCAGCTACCCAAGGTAGCAAGCGCCGGGAGGTCAGGCATTTTGTCTGCTCTATCAGCCGCCCTAGGCCCGGTGCCTAGACCTGGCACATAGTAGGTGCTTGTGTGTCTTCGAGCAGACACGTCTGTGGCCCTGATCTCAGGTGAGACACACGTGCTCTCACAGCATGGGGTTGAAAGGGGTCTGCGTAGACAGAAAGTAGTGCTCTGTGCTGGGGTTTCTTGGGGACTTCCAGATCGTGTGACCATAGTGTCCCGGCTCTATGGGTGGTGGCAGAAGGGGCTGCCACTTCCTGGCCCCGCTCTCCAGGGGCGTGTGGTAGGCATGGCAGCCCCTGCCATCTTGGCTGCTTGGATCTGCGATTTCATCCCTCTTCCCCATGGTCTGGCTCTCCTCTGTGTGTCTGCCTTTCTGCTCTCCTTTCCTTTACCCTGCTCCTGAGCGACCCTGGTCACCCCCTCACCGCCTCTGCCTCCCACTCTCTGCCCTTAGCAGGGGAGGTGCTGGGAGCAGCCGCCGCAGACCTGCTTTCCGGGCAGCACCGGCTTACAAGTGATTGTTAAGACTGGGAAGGGGTGGGGGGAAACTTCACCTTTTCCGCCTGGCTCTGGGCCATATGCACCAGGAGCATCCAGAATTGGGGGGCCTTTTGGGCTTGTGATGTGCAAGGACCAGTTGCCTTACGAGAAATGGCTCTGGATGATGCCTCCCTCACTGCCCCCCTGCCAAACGCCTGCCCGCCCATGTGGCCGTGGATGCGGATGTCTGAGTGGGGAAATACTTTTCCTCCTTGTTCGCTCTCCTCCTTGCTCGCCACTCCCTGCAGCAACCGCCTCTCTGTTGTCGTCCCTTGTCCCCTGGGGGCTGGGGTTTTGCCATGGTGGCCAGGAGCCTTGGGAGGAGAGCATGAGTGCGTCTCACCAGAAGCCTGCGGGTACTTGAGGGTGAGAGGGGTCGGCCTTTGTGCCAAGCTTTGTGTGGCCTCCGGGTGGACGAGGCACTGACTCTGGAGCGGGGGTTGAGCACCGTTCTGTGGAACAGATGGGCCACGTTGTGAATGTGCATTCCTCCGGGGTGGACTCTCAGATTGCCTCCACCTTTTGGCCTGGGACTACTTTTTAAATCTTTTCTTGGCTTGAGGTCCCCAGGAACGCACAAGGAGTGAACCTTGGCAAGCAAGCCCAAGCCTGTATTTTGGAAGCATTGATTTTCCACCTAGAGTCTGGGGCGGGAGGGCCGATCTTTACGGCCAGGGTTTGGGATTTTCGGGCCACAGTTCCCTACCTGTAGCAGTCGTTTACGGAGGGCCCCGGATTTCTTTGGTGGCTGTGGAGGGGGTGGGCTCACATCTAGTTTTTGCCCTGGCTTGACCCAAGGTCTTGACCCTACTGGTACCTTGGTTCCCCAGGCAGCAACCCCTGGGCCCAGGAGGCCACAGCATCTAACCGAGATCTCCTTGTTTTGCTTTTTATTTCCCATGTCATCAGGGGCCCCCGAGAGCACCCGCAGGCTCGATGCTTCTTTCGCAGAACTCAGAAGAGCCGTACAGCGGCTCCTGGTCACGGCCATTGTGGTCAGTGACAGTGGAAGCGCACAGTTCGGAATCGGCAAGGATGCGAGGAGCGTAGGGCGGGGGGCCGGGACAGACCAGGCGGGGGCGTGGGCTGGGCCGTTTCTCCCGCGGCCTGGAGTGACAGCCTGCCCCGGGCTCCGCCACCAGGGACGCCTCCCTGAGTGGTGCTGTCAGGGGACTTGAGATCGGGGTCGGTCCCATGGGCCTGGAGCTCCCGTGGGGCTGACCTCGGATGCTCATCTCTGCCCCCTGTCCCCTCCCCGGAGGTGAACCTAAGAGGTGTGGTCCAGCTCCGCCCCCGGGGGGACTGAGACCCTCTCATGGGGCAGGACATCCTGGGTGCCAGAGATCCTTTCCCCGGGACTGGGCAGGGACCAAAACTTCCTTGGGAACATGTGGATCCTGGGGGCCAGAGATCCTTTCCCCGGGACTGGGCAGGGACCAAAACTTCCTTGGGAACATGTGGCGTTCACTCTGAGCTGCACACCCCTCTTGGTTTGGGCCCCTAGGGGTTCACCTAATGATTTTATAAGCTCCGCAGCACAGTCAGGAGCCTGGCTAGTCTAGGCTGTGTGCTCCAGATGCAGGTGTGCTCCAGGGCCAGCCCGGGGTGGAGTGCCGTTCAATGGTTTAGCCTGTTTACTTCTGGAAATGAACCCCTGGCCCAACTCTGTCACCAGCCCCCTGTCCTGTCTGCACATATGATCCCCGAGGCCTTTTCCATCTGGAGTGGTCTCTGCTTTGTGGTCAGCAAGGCTGGAAGCGGACGGGCTTTGCGGAGAGCTGCCGTCATCTCTGATCGCCAAGCCTCTGTGCCATCCCCTATGCAGTGCGGTTCAGCGATTAGTGGCGGGTACCTTGTTTCTCACAGAGGGAGTCTAATCAGAACCTGTTTTCCTTCTCCTTTCTAGGTGTTTAGTGACGACCTTACCAAGCCAATCATTGATAACATTGTGTCTGATCTCATTCAGATTTATACCATGGACACAGAGATCCCCTAAGGCCCTGGTCCAGGCCTGCCCCACGAAGCCCGGGATGCTCGGCTGCCTGGGGACGGCATCACCACGTCGCTGTGACGGCTGGTCCCCAGAGGACCAGCTGGGAGGACTGGTTTTATGCTGCTGGAGACGAGCTGGTGAAGGCGATGACCTGCTGCCACTCTGATTCTCATGCTGACTGTCCCCGGCAGCTGTGGTCCAGACGGTGATGGGCACTGTGCCTCCTGCGGGCAGGCCGGGGTGCACCAGGGGAAGGGCCCCCCAGGCATCCGTGTCTGCTTCTGTCCTTTGAGAGGACGCTGACTGCAGTTGAGGTGTGACGTCATTGGAAGCAAAATCAAAGAGCAAGACGAGACTGACTGTACCCTTGGGGATTTTTTAAAGCCAGATTTATAGGAAGTATGAATGTGCAACACAGATGGAATTTTATTTTGTATAATAAAAGATGATACAAATCGTCGGAGACGCCCTGTCTTTGCTCTGTGGCCCAGGCTGCTCTGGGGGCTCTCCAGCCTCGGTTTCCCCAGAAGTGCTCTCCCTGGATGGAATTGCCCCTTGTGCCTACACTGCTTTCTGAGGCCCTGGTGTCCGAGTGTGTGCTCACATCCTGGTGGTGTTCCCGAAGGAGTCCCCATGTCCTCACTCCTCCACTGGGACATCTGCAGAACTTGGCGCCCGTCCCATTCAGTGAGCGAGCATCAGTTTTGGAGAGAGGGACTGGGGAGCATCACTTGGGTTCCCCAAACCCAGATCTGACCAAAATGTAACTAGAAAGTACTTGACAGTTTTTTCTTAAGTGTGAAGCCAGGGAGTCTGGACGGAGAGCCTGGAGAACCTTGGCCACGACACACTGCTGACCCACTCAAAGGGCAGTTCTTCCAGAAGACCTGCTTTTGGGTGCGTTAGAGAAACAGAGCAGCCTAGGTTGTTGTGGGAGCTGGCCGGAATGCCGGGGTCCATCCGGCTGCTGCCGAATGCTTGTCTCCAGTGGAGGAGACACACAGAGGTGTCCCACACTGGTCACAAGTCAGGCAGCCTGGCTTGCTTGAGTTTGCTTAGCAACCATCTTCTTCGTCTTCAGGATGAGAGATCGGAATAAATGTCCACTCTTCTACTATGTCCTTTCCATATCTCTTCGCCCAGCGCAACCGGGAGCTCTTTGAGGACAAGGCTGGTGCTCGGAGCCGGGGCTCTGAGTGCGGAGCGGGTGGCGAGGAGTTAGGCCTCTCTCTGGGAGCAGCTCTCGCTCTCACTGCTCCTTTCTGTCTTCGCTATTTAAAGAGGACCTTGTCTGCCTCGTGCACTTCCTCCCCACAGGCTGGGCCCCTGCGTCGCCCCCTGGACCCCAGCCTCGCCTGTCCCGCCCTGACCCGGCGCTGCCCTTGGCCAGTGCCTGTTGCTGGTCTGAATGGAATTGGGTAACAGATGTTTCACTTTTGGATTCTCTGTCTTCTCTCCCCTGACCAGATCACAGGCTCTTATAGAAGCTTCCATTTCTTCGGCTCTCTTAAGGTTGAGCCTCCAGAGAGGCAGCCTGCCCCCACACACTTGATGCGAGGTCATTTGCTCAGCTCTCAGAAAGCAGAGCGCCCTGCCCTGGTGGGAGGGCTGGGTGAAGGGTATGGGAGAACCCTCTGGAGAGTTCTCTCCAGATGCGCTTGTTCCCGTCTGTTTGCTCCCCACCCCTGGTCCCAGGACTTACCAGAAAGAAGGGAAGATGGCTGGCTAAAGCTCTCCGGGGATTTGGTGAACATCCCCGCCCCCGGCTTGAGGGCCCTGTTTCCGAACCGGGAAAGAGTGGCTCCGGAGGCTCTGGTCTGGGGTTCGGGGCAGGCTCTGGAGATCCCGTAGCTCTAGGTTTCCTTTTATGAGGACTGCATAGCAGGCCCCTTCTTTTCTTTCTATGGGACTCAGTTTTCCACTTTGTATATAGAGCAGGTTGGACCAAATGATCCCAGACTGGGATTGCTGATCACTTGTTTCATTTTTTATTTTATTTTTTTCTGATTGCTATTTTAAAATCCCTTAACCCACCCTTGTGCCTATCGTGCTGCTTGGTGGGACTTGCAGGCCTCGCATGCTGGCCTCCGGGCCTGTCCTGTCAGCACTTACCCCGTGGGGGTTGTCTCTGTTTCCCTGATGCAGCTGGGGCCAGGAGCTCCCCCTTCTGCGTCATCGTCATCGGGAGGGAGACGGAGGAAAGGCGCTGGTCAGCAGTGAAGGATGGTGATGAGACTTCCTAAAACCCAAAGCTTCCAGGAGCTTCTTAGTCCAGAGCACATCTTAATTACTGTAAAGTGATAAACGGGTGGAAGGAGGGGGCAATCCGGGTTCTATGAGGAACTTGGCTGGTCTCTTCCTTTCCAGCCACGGTTGAGTGAATGGTGTCCCTGAAAGGATGTGTCTATGTCCCAACTCCTGGAACGTGGGGATGGGTCCTTGTTTGAGAATAGGTTCTCTGTAGCTATTGTCAGTATGAGGTGAAATCCTATGGGGGTAGGCTGGGTCTGGATCCGAGACGACTGGTGTCCTTCTAAGATGCAGCGGTGACCTGTGCAGAGGGAGGAGGCGGCGGGCCGGCGATGGCAGGAGGAGTGGTGCCCACCAGCCAGGGCAGGCCAAGGACTGTGGCGACCCCAGCCGCTGGAAGACTCAAGGAAGGATCAGCCCCCAGAGCCTTCGGGAGGGGGAGGGCCGCCCTGCCCACACCTGGATTCCTGCCTTCTGGCCCCCGGAGCAGGGGGGGTGGGTGATGGCCTTGTTATTTTAGGCCCCTGCCCTGCTGCCCCCCTCCCCGCCACCACCATTGTCAACTCCTACCGGGCCTTCCTCAGACTCCTGGGCTGCACCTTTGCTCCCAGGGGTGCTCCTGGGTGGTGAACTGTTGGCCAGCTTTGTGCAAGGATGGGTGCTGTAGTGCTGCCCAATTGTCTCCCATGGCAGAAATTAGCGATGTGGGGGGGTGCGCAACACCCTCTGTAAGGTGCCAGCTCCCTGCGCAAGGCGTGGAGCCCCCATCTAGACTTGCTTGGCCTTACGGTTCAAGGTGGACTCCTACCTCCGTGAAGCAAGGGCTCTTTGCTATTTGTTTGTCTGCTGTTTGCTGTTACTGGTCTTTCTGCCTTTTTTAGACATATGGGCTCTGGTGGTTGGGAGGGAACTTGGAAGCCATTTTTCTCCTTTCTTGGCAGCTTCCCTGGAAAAGGCATCCACCGGCGTTGCCAAGTTTGAAGGGGTGATGTGTGGAGTGGCGAAATGGAAACACAGGCAAAGGCGATGTGGGTAGTCTTGGCCTGGTTGCCGTGGTGGTCATTTGCAAGTTCTGGACCAGAGCTGCCTTTGTGGTTCTGCTGGCAGAGTAGAGGGGCTGGGTCGCAGGGCACAGTTGTCCCCAGCTGTAGGCGTGTGAAGGGATGGAGAGGGGAATGACCTGGCGAGCAAGTAAATGACAGAAATAATTGGTTTTCTTTCCCCGGCTTTGCCTTAAAGAGGAATTCTGATTACACCCTTTGTGTGCTGCTGGTGGTGGTGGGGTTTCAAATGGTGCAGCCGCTTTGGAAAACAGTTTGGCAGCTCCTCAAAAAATTAAACCCAGCATTACCAGATGACCCAGCAATCGCACTTCTGGATGGAGACCCAAAAGCAGGGTCTCAACCAGGTGTTTGTACACCCGTGTTTGCGGCAGCGTGATTCACAGTAGCCCAAAGGTAGAAGCGATCCAGGTGTCCCCTGGTGGATGAGTGGTTAAAGAAAATACGGTCTAGCCATACAATGGAATGTTCTTCAGCTTTAAAAAGGCAGGAAATTCTGACACAGGCTACAGACACGGATGAAGCTTGAGGACGCGGTGCTGAGCGACATCAGCCAGTTTCAGTTACTGTCTGCCTGCACTGCTGCGGGTTTCCGAGAGCGGTCAGACCCCAGGAGACAGAAAGGCTGGCGGGGCATGGGACAAGGAATTAGTGTCCAATGTGAGCAGATTTCAGTTTGGGGAGATAAAAGTGCTCTGCAGACGGATGGGGGTGGGGGGGATGGCTGCACAGCACCGTGAAAGTACTTCATGTCATTGCTTAAAACGGGAGCATGACTTTTATGGTGTATGTATTTTGCCGCAGTCAAAAGAAAAAAAAATGTGCATTTGGGTTGGTGGCTCCTGCCCTCACCTTCCTTGGAGGACGCCGGCCTGGACCTTCAGGTGAGGCCCCTCTGGGTCCAGACAGTTATACGACCGCCATGCAAACCTTCGCTAACAGTGCCTCTGACCCCCACAGGGCAGGCGAGCCCTTTCTTCCTTCCAGAAGGGTGGACCAGTGACTGCACACCCGGGGAAGAGCTCTACCATCCCTGGGGCTCATCTCAGTGGTGGCGAAGCGGATGAAGACACCTCCTTTTCATTGCAAATGGGAATTCACCAACTAATAAATCACACATGTTACCCAGACTGGGACTGTAGGAGCCTTTCATTTTTTTTTTTTTTAATACACAGAAATTTTGGTCTATCCTTTAAATTAGGAAATTCAACTACAGACTTTAATTTATTATGCATCTGGTCTTCCTTATTAAGATAATTTTTGTTCATCTTTATAACAGGCAGATAAGAATGTAAAACATATTTAATAACTGAACACAGCTGACCAAGCCATTCCGTATAATATGCTCGATAGAGGGGGGCTTCCTCACAAGAAAGGTCCCTTAGCCAGAGCGACAATCGGAGGTCACAGCGACCCTTCCTTTTCTGAACCCCACACCCCGAGGAAAGGCAACCTAGGGACTAAACAATGGACACACACAGGAGGCAACTTTGTACAGCAGCAGTGAGGGCGGTTGGTCTATGCTGACCGTTCGTTCTACTGAGGTGTCTCTAACAGGGAATGAAAAGAAGCCCATGAGCAGAGCATACGCCCCTTATCTTCTTCAGTTGAAAGATTTCCAATTTTATTTCTAGTTTATGAACATACAGACCCTCAACAGATTGAGTTGCCCTTTTTGTTGTTTGAACAAGGACATTAGGGAACAATTTACAAATGGGTAACATTCTCAATGTGCCCTTTGGAATAAAGGGATGGCTTTAAGTTATCTGTAGCTGGCATTTTAAGTTGGATTTTCTTGTCTAATTGGAACTCCTTTGCCTGAGATTTGACTACTCCTGCTCAGCCTCAGGCCCAAGTGAGAGGCACAGGTCGGGCCTCAACCGCCTCTGGGCAAAACACGAGACAGCTGCGTTCCGCAGGTAAAGCATCCTCTGCGTTTTCTGCATTTCCCTCCCTGGTTAGTGTGCATTCAGGGGAAACTGAGGCTTGGCACCAGGAGTGCCCATACGGCAGGGAGAGGTCCCCGAGGGAACCGTCTGGGGAGCCCAGGCCCAGCTCTCCCGCCGCCAGTGCTCCGCCGGCATGGCAAAGCTCACCTCCTCAGCCTTCTGGGCTCATTGGGCTGAGCCACAGGGGTCCCCAGGGGCTC